ATTACACTACATTAACTCTTCTACAATTTGACATTAACGACGTTTGCTAACTCCGAAATTCAATCATATAGAACATTATAAATGATCCTTTTCTCATTCTCTCTATTTACTTAACGACTGTTTAATTCATTCTGTGCGCGATATAGTCATGGTGAAGGTGTAACAGGTACGAAATAATTGCTTCCTACGAGTAATTGCTCACTTTTTTCACGACAGTCATTTGTAGCCCGTTGATCGCTCCCTGTACGTCTGATAATCGCTTTTCGTGCCGCGCGTACATTACAACGTTAACGACAGAAAAATAATATTAATACGAAGCAACCGGCAGTTGGAGAGGCGTTTCGCGCGGGAAATGAAGATTTTCTATCGAGCGTAACTCGTTTATCTTCCATTCTTCCCTGCTCATATAATAGGAGACAAGGTAAACGGTGAGAGTAGCAATGAGAGAATCAAGAACGGATTTAAAAGAAAGGGACTATTAAAAAATGATAATTGGGGCTATTCTACTGCATGCATTCTATTATAATGTAATAGAGTATGAATCCTCAACTCGCACATCTAGAATTTGGAAATGATGAATTTGCAAGATCCTGATTTTCTTCCTTTATTAATTCGATTAGCAAAATATTAATAAATTTCAGATAATAATTGTTAGAAATTATTTCATATACATATGAGAAAGAAATAATTAAATAATAATGTATTGTCCACAATTTCTTGCACACTGATAAATTTGGGTTATCTATCTGCGTCGCCGTAACGTCACGTATGGATGTACGGAGAACGATAATGTCGACCGGGTTACATCGTTGTACTGGCAATCGCATGGTGATCCTCTTGACGGATATTCTCGATTTGTCGCCTTATCTAATCGTAAACGGATGCGCACCTCGTAACCGCGTGTGGCCAATCGAGCAGCAAGGTGACTAAATTTACGAATACCCCTTATTTAATTCTTAACTGACATCTTAACTAACATAAGGAAATCATTAATCTTGAAAATCTTTTTATTAATTTTTTTGATGTTTAGACTATCGTTTATCTATTTTTAATCAAAACTAATAATAAAATTGGTATTACATTGATCCTTGTTTAAAGCATAGTAATAAACAAACTTTGACAAACGTTGAAAAATTGGATTCAGACCTACGATAACATTTAAGGATTAAGAATGTATGAGATGTCTCTGGAAAAAGTGACTGGAAATGGAAATTTATAGTTTCCGCATAAAAATAAATATTGTGTATGAAATAGTTCAATTTAATCAATCTATCTTTATATAACAATATAATTTTATAATTTAACTAAAAATTTTGTTATTTAATTATGTTTTAAAAATATCTACTTCATATAGAAATAATTTTTCTTTCAAATTTTTCTTTCTAAATCGCCGAAGTTTTTATATTATTTTCACAAATACAATACAGAAAAATCTATAATATTTTCATAATCTTTTCATTTTGTTAAAAAGTATATGTAATGTATCCTTAATATTTTAAATAGTAAGTTTTTGTAGTGCTAGCCAACTATCTGTACCTTTTTTGCAAATTATGTTTTTTATAAATTACAAATAGTTTGGGTTCTGAATTTAAATATTAGTAAATTAAGATTAATACTTCGAAATTTAAAATATATATAAATTAATATACCTTTATATATTACAATACATAAACGGTTAAACTATAATATATAATAACATTCATATAGATTTATAGATCATAGTATAAATATCTAATTCTATCATCATGATATAAATAAAAAAGAAACATCAATTTGTATTCTCGATATCGAGATATTGGTTATCATCGCGAGAATAACAAGCATGTCTGACTGCTATTTGCTAAGTACAAGATTACTTTCGGAATAAGATACAAGATTCCAGGAATACTTGGATAAAGCGGGATACATATCCGAAGAGTAGATGGAGGAATTCTTGGCAGACGGCCATCGAGAGAAATATGAACCGAGCTCGATTCTACGGTAACACGTAGTAAATTCTGTCATGGGGCGCCAGCAGACAGGCGCATTGAAATGGAACGTATTGTACGGTCGAAAGAAAGAAAGAAAATCGTTAATTCTCTTAGACAGGCTCAAAAGTTAATATCAATATTATCACATTAAAATAACAGTAAAGAGAATTATAATGTCAGAAATTGAAACAACTACAATATTATTTCGTGGAGTTTAATTTTTAACTAGACATAGAAAGCATAATGAGCTTTACAACATAAAAAATGAATAAACGTACCTTTCCAGTTTCTGAATAGTATGAAATATCCAACAATTAAACAAATCTTTGCGTAGACAAGCGTTTCGCAAAATTCTCAGGAAATAGAAAAAGCGTATCCGGAAGGAATTTTTACTTGAACAAACGGATTATCTGTCTGCTAATTATCCCACGCACAAAATTAAGGAAGAAAAGACTCTGTTATTGAAGATGTTGCCTCTGAACAATGAAGGGAATATCGATCGTTGGAAGTGAATGATAAAACGGCGCGGAAAGAAAGAAGGGATGACGGGGGTCTTCTTTCTTTTGAAATGGAAGGAATTTATTTTTAGTCTTTTACACGTAATTCGCGATAGGGAAAGTCTTGATTTTATGCTGATGGAGCGAATGCATACGCGCTTTTCGCTTAGTGCGTGTCAAGAGGAATCTCTCGATGAACCTGACTCAGCTACTGGTTGCGCGGTATTGTACATGGAAGCCAATGACACTACTGGATATACAACGTGTATTGTTCTGACTACCATGTATCGATTCGTTGAAAGAAGACGACAACTTTCACGCCTCGCATTTCATATTGTACTATAACGTTAATACAGGCTGCGCGAATGCGACCAAAAAGGAGATGAAAAAGTATCACTTATTTGTGACGACAACACGACACGATTAAAAAAACAAAGTTTTTCCAGAAAATGAATTTGAACATTTTGAAGTATTAAAATTTTGTAATATTAATTTTGAAATGTAATTTTAGTGTAATCTTAATTATAAAAGAATGAAAATAGGTATGTTCTTTCTACTTTTTTCTTTATATTCCGTTTTTTTTTCTATGAATTTTAAATTGTCAATTTTTTAGTCATTGTAATCACTGGCGATTTCACGGGAGCATGGGAGCCGTGCCCTCTTCTTGAAGTCTTCTTTTTTAAAAATATTCATAACAAAAAATATTATATATATTTTTAATCTTTCTGAAATTACAATTCCCAGAATATTTTTCAATTTAAGAAGCTCCTAGATATAAAAAACATAGATTCTATTATATTGTTCTTCTTTTATATTAATTTTAAATAAAACGTTTTACGAATTATCCAGTTAAATAATCCAGTTACATAGTACTTTTTTAATGTAGTAATTTTAATAATAATTTAATATTCTGTCTTTTTATATTTGCCTTAAAAAAATTTTCCTTACGGCGAGATAATGGGCCTCCCTTGATGAGTTTTTATTATTGGTTGTAGCGAATGAATAATATAAAAAACGAATGAGAAATAGACACTAAGTTTTTTCATTAATCCGGAAATAATCTATTTTTTATCCCAGCGCGGCGATGAGAAAATGTAAATTATAAAACGCAATGGATATTGTTTAATAAATTTGATTTTAGCAATTATTCTTTAAGAAACTTTAAATATTCAATTCCATTGAAAACTCGCAATAAAGTGTTTTATTAATTAACATCTTTAGTTTTTTTTTAATACTGTCGTAATAAACTATTTAACTTGCTTATTCCAATGAAACAGCAAAATACAACTAGGCGTTAGGAGTCAGCGCTGGATATTATATTGCGCAATACTAATTCCGTTTGTTTAATATTTGTTTGATTTCTACTTGCTTTTTTCGAAAAATTGTGAATAGATTCATATTCTTAAATACTAGTAAATTGAAAAAAAATAATATACATTATAATATCAATAATAGTAATTTTTAAGTGGGGTGTAAAAATATCTCAAGTGACCATTTACGTAAAAAAAAAATCAAGTTACTACTCTCAAGTTATAATATAGCGTTTTTTTGTCAGAATAACAAAAACATCTAGACGTCGCTTGCAATAATTAACATACTAATTAATAGACACAATTCTTGGAAGAAAAATGCGCCTCGATGTTCCTCGAATAATTCAGATTGGAGAAACACAAATTGATAAATAATTTATTCCATGTAGCAGAGCTTAAGTAAGATAGAATTTTTGTTTTCTAGTGTAAAGCTAATGACACTCAAAAAAACTTAAGTAGTAAGATGTAAACAGTAGCTTAGATACGTTATTTGTATGTCATTTGACGTTATTTGTCGTCACTTTGACGTCAAAATGATAAATTACGTCAGTTTACTTAGAGGCGAATCAGCCAATCACAGTGAAGAACGTAAAGCATTATCGTAAGCAATAATAAATTCGTAAGCAATGATGATTTGTTTACTTCTTATGTATTACAGCTTAAATTTTTCTGTGTGCCATTAACTTAATTGCGCCAGTAGGTATAGTTTATTAAATTGGATTGTCCAATAAATCATGATTGGCATCCTCCCAATTTGCCGGTGACTTTCAATCAGTGAACGACCTTTTTCCTTATTTCGGTCACGTATATTATGGTAATATCTACCTCTTTATGAAAAAAATGAAGCCATATGATAAATTACGAGCGACTAAGGAAGTAATAAAAACAATATATGAACGCAACGCAATTTTGTACATAGTAATATTAATATTATTCATATTACAGTAATATTAATATTAATATCATTTTATTAATTATGTCACGAGTTTGAGACGAGATTTGTACAAAAAAGAGTCATCATCAGCTATGCTTAACATTGTGTATGAATATACTATGAAGCAAAGATAGCACGAATCTACATTTAGAATCTACGTTTATAAAATTGTATATTTTTCGTACAATTTCAGTAAAATATTTTCTGATTTAAACAAATCGAGGAGCTAAAAATCTCGTGATGTCGAACGAAGTAGATACAAAAAGAAATGAGTAATACCCTCACATACCTTGACATCCCGACTCTTCATCTCCTGCCTTCTGGGCACAGTATTCTCCCCGTCGGCATACACGAGATTCCTAATAAATCCATTGAATCTTGGCTCGAATATTACGCTGGGCAGCGCCAACAGCGTCAGCTTGCTGTTGTACCAGCTAGGCATACCGCCCACGTAGACGTCCGAGTTCCCGGCGAGCTTGCCGAACTCGAACTCCTTGCCGCGCGACGTCGAGACCGCGCCGACACCGTCCACAGTTAGGGTAGTGTTCTCGTTGCACCTAGTGATCTGTACCTTGTGCCAATGGCCGTCGCCGAGGTCGTGGCCAACCGTGACAATCTGCGCCCCGCCGCCAAGATTGTACCTCAGTCTGAGAGCGCTCTCGACCAGTTTGACCTCGAAGAAGTCGTAAGTGCCGCCGTCGTCCGTGTAGAGTAGCAGCCCGTTACCCTGCTCGGTCTTGAACTCGAACTCGAGGGTGCCGTTCAGGCCGGCATTCCATTTGCGAAATTGTGCGTAGCTCGTCGCGGAACCCTCCAGCAGGAAACAGCGGGCTACCTGGCAGGCGAGCAGCACCGCCAGTAGAAGCGGCGCCGGCAAAAGCGTGGGACGCATGATTCACTCTTGGACTGGATCTCCCGCTAGATTCTGTTCATTCGCTCAATCGGGCCGTTCTCGTGTGACGAAGGACGTCACGCGCTCATACGCATCTCGCGTGGGCGCCCGAAGCGTGGGTGCGTGATGCTGGCCACGTTGCACCACCCGGTTGCATCCGTGAGCACGTGAGCACGCACGCGCGAATCGTGCGTGGGTTGGGTGTGATATGCGATTTTGTGATCGTACGCGCTGCTCGTGCGTACTCTCGTCTATATCTCTCTCTTTTTCTCTTTTTTTTTTCTGTGTAAATTATCCTTAAAGTGCCTTCGATTAACTGTTTCTCGAGTTCTCGTGAGCTCTCTTCTGAACAAACTTTTGTCGAGCGGGAAAGTCGTTTCCAATATCGTCTCGAAAAATTAATGAACTTGATAGTGATCGGACACGTTCGTTCCAAATTGCTATTTATCTTCGTTATTCAATATTAAGATTCCCCCTTTTGAGAAAGTTACAACGATAAATACTTATGAAAACTTTGATAGTAATTATTAGTAAAATGATACCCTTTGTTAAATCTTATCTCAAATAGAATTATTTCAGTTAGAATGAAATTTCATTATTTTCATAAAAGTCGATATTTCTGGATATGTCTTCAATTTCAAGTTCAGTCTGTTATTTGGACGCATCAAGATTCGTAAATTACCTCCCGAGTTCACTCTAAAACCACTGAAAATGCAATGAAAGAATTCACAATATTTGTGTCTCTTTAACGCGCGTATAATGTGCACCAATCGATTGACCAACGAAAAGCTTCTCGAGGAATAAGCGCTTTAATCACGTTTATTATATGTACAATTTAAACCGGAGATTGAGACTAGAGAATGACGTATTTTCCTCTCCGAAGACCATCAGTTAATTTAATACTTAATACACCGTTCAATTACGGTAAGAGTTCAATCTCTTAGTACCAGCATTATATTTTTACGGAAAATCAATCAATATCGATCACAGTCACTAAAGTGTGTTCGATGAAGCAGAAGAAGTATCGACGTTTTGCTCAGATGTCTCACAGAACGTGACTTTTTTTCTTTACAATCCGTCACAAGACATCTAATGCCTTTTCTCGTTTCCTCCAAGATTCTGATTTTTTTAAAAGATGATCAGTTATTTCTTCTGACTCATTCCACTGGTAGAATGTCACTGTCAGTAACATTGAAGCACAAGGAGTAAAGAAGTTAACTTTTCAGAAATCAATGACAAAACAAAGTACATATATACATTATTTACTGAGAGTCTTTTAATTGCGCATTTGTGAATTTAGAATCTGGGCAATCTCTATCGAGAAGATAAGGATATGGAAAATTCAATAATTTTCAAAAGATCGTTGATACGACTTTCTTGCTGTTTCTCCGAGCTTCCGTATCTTAAAGAATCCTTAAATAGGTTGCGCATAACACTGTAGAGGACGACTGTCACGATGTCGAGATATCGAGACTTGGCGTCGAGGATGCCTAAGTCGCGATCTAAACCTCGAGAATCGCCTCGTAACGCTTCGCGTTGGATGACACACTTTCACCGCGGCTCTTTCGGCGGGATACACGTCTCGGAATTGCTCGCGGAATGGCTCGAGCAAGTCAATCCGAATCGCGTGGAACGTCACCTGATTACGCGCTTCATCCCCGGCACCGAAGGTCAACCGGAATGGAGAGAGAGCGGGTCCCTGCGACGAGCGACACGACCTCGACCTAATCACGCGATGAGCACTTTCACCACACACCAGGCTCTGTCCCTCCCTCTCCGCTGTCCGCGACGCAGAATCGCGAGAGATGCCGGGGGATGATCACTCGGCCCCGTTCGCGACGTCGCCGTTTTCCCCGTGACGAGCTCGTGGTGGCGTTTCAATGGCGCCGACGGAACACAGCACGGATCCTGCACGTCGGGTCGAGTCAGACGACTACGCTACTTGCTCGCGGTTCACTCTCGAGTCAGCCATCCGTTCGTATCGCGATCGATCCGGCCGCGCGCTCCATTTTTCCTTCTCTCTCCCTCTCCCTCTCTCTCTCTCTCTCTCTCTCTCTCTCTCTCTTGTGCGCGTTCGCTCTTTCTCTTGCCCGGAAGCTTCAGCGAAATCGAACGTACACGTCGGAACAACGCGCGCGAACGTAAAATCCCATTCACTGTTCCTTGTCGTAGTTGCTGGTCGCGATCAGTAGACCGTTTCCCGGAGATGGATCGACCCTCTCGACGGCTCCCGGCTTGATACTAGCCTGGCGAGACGAAGCGATGCTCGGTCGAGACGCTCGCTGCCGACGACGATGGTGCGACGCCCCCGGCATGACGCCGACGCCGACGACGACGTCGACGCCGACGCCTCGCGCCGTTCCTCTGCGCAGTCGCGCGTCGAGGGAGAAGAACGGAGGAGGAAGAGAGGGTTACGGTGGTGCGAGAGGGTTGTTCTTCGTCGGTGCCTGTCTGTCTGTCCGTTGTTGTATAACGCTAGAAGTCTAGGACGCAGGTGAGGGCGCGGAGAGATGAAGGAACGTGGTGGTGCGTACCTACTGGGGTGGGAAGGGGTTGCGCTCTCAGATTTGCTCCTCCAGCGAGAACATTAGCGACGAGAAGCGTGGAAAAATTGTTGAACAACCTTTCGATCTGAAAGCGAAAGAAATTCTTAATGAAGCGCATTTCTAGAATCGTTGATCCACCTGAGAAATGTTTTGGATCATCGATCGATACCGATGAAGTGATTAATGGAGAAATGCAATCATGAAACTTTCGTATTGCAAATTTATTGATCACGTCGAATATTCAATTTTTAATATTTTTATCAAACAGAGAGTTATGTGAAAGTTTTTGGAAAAAGACACTTTATATATTTATATCTGTTTTTTTTCTTTTTTTGGGGAAGGGAAATGGTAAACAATGTTTTTTGCTGTCTTCCATTAAGAGATGTGAAATACGAAAAAAAAAAGAGAGAGAACTATGTTAAAACAGTATTGTATAAATACAATTATTATTCAGAGTTTTTCATACACGTATATCCATTTATAAAATGAATGAGAAACATTATAGCTAAAACAACTATTTTGTTGAAAGAATACTGTGATATTTCCTGCTTTACTGACTTTATTTTAATGTAACTCGAATATATATACAACAGATTTCGAAAATACGAGCAGAATAATGAAAAGTTTTTGATAATCTAATATTATATTCTAATAATATATTTTTATAATTGAATCTCGTAAGAATAAATAAAGCTCCATTTATGTAAATCCGGAACAGTCTTTGATTTACACTATTAATTCAATATTTAACGAAACGAAAAAATTGGATCGATTAAGTAAGTGAAAGATGGAATGGTATGACGGAAGTGAAAAGAGGACGAGTAGCGGTGCGGGAAATTCGGCTGCCAAAATAAAAGAAATGGTGACTGAACAAGAAGATGTTGCGCGAAGGTACCTCGTAAAGGTGGTTCCCCAAACGGAGTGGTAGAGAGATAGGTATAGATGTCAATCGAAAGGTGAAAAAGCGCGCGACTCAATGCTGAGAAAGCATCGTGTGTCTGTTCGGCAGAAAGCGTCGATTCATAAGGACGATACAACACGAATCGGAACATGGTGAATGGCGATTTCGTCTGGTCAGAAATTCGAGGAGCCATCGAGTGCTTTCGACGTCGACCCGAGTCTGCGATTTTTCCATTGCGTTGCGAAAACTGAGCTCGTATAAAATGTACAGTTCGCGCGTTTATTACCAACCTTGTGAAATGTATCTAATAACGTTGTGAAAAATAAGGATGTATTACAATTATAAGCGGAAATTAGATTGATAAGAATAAATCAGATAAGAGAAAGAATTCTATATTCGATCAAAGCCGAGCTTAATAATATTCATATGTAAATTTACGAATACATTTTTCAATTCTTTGAACTGCATTGATTCAGTTTGTCAGATTTGAGATTATAAATTGAAGCTAAAAATATACAAATTATATTGATCGTTAATTCAGCTAATAAGCATCTTAAAACACTACAAAGAACTTATTGCGAAAAATATTCATTTCAATCAGAGTTTGAACCTGATTCTCTCGACTTTTTCCAAACGTTTTATCAATTCATCGTTATCATTTGTGATACTTTTTGTAAATAAATTTTTTGCTGTGTTTTAAGATATTTATTAGCTTTATTATTAAATTGACGATTATTAGTTGTGATATTATTTCCAGTTTCAATCTATGATTGTATTTCAACTTCGACAAACCGAATCAGAATGCAATTATAGAACTAAAAATAGATTTGCTTTGCATATGAATATTATTAAGCATCAAAATTCACTTTGACCAAATGAAAGATGTATAACCGTAATTATTTCGATCTTTCCTTTTCAAGAAACTTCTTAGTTAATTAATACTTCAAATAGATTGGTAATTCTACTACTATCATTTAGACTCGCAGAGCATTAATGAGAGTAAAAATTATACCGCAGCCTTAGAAGAAGGGAAAATAGATCATATATCAATTATGACTGTTGATTATCATTAACGCTAATTTAATGCTCGTATGCGATATCCTCGAGATAATAGCTCCCATTAGTCCGTGTCGTTCAGTATAATTAACACTTTGAGTCCAGTGGGGGTACACTGCAAATCCCATCGTGATGTTAAACGCTCTCCGGATTCGAAGTATTAACCAACGTAGGATACCTATATATTAATATTGCATCTATAAATCGGGAATGCAGTGTATCGAGAAGTATCGAGGAACGATACATTTATCGTCGGGTTGTTTTTGCTGACAAAAATGATAAAAATCACATACAATACCATTTATCTTCAAGCTCGCCGTAATTCTTTTAAAATCACTCATCGACCTAATCGATATGTCGTTATTGTTGACTTGTCGACGATGTATTAGTCCCGCGAGAATAATTATATTGTTAGATCAAGACGGCATGGACCCTTAAGTCATCTACACGTAAGATGAATCGTTGCTCACGCGTCTCATCCATCGGACAATGTCCACCATATTGATGGATCGCAGTAAACCGTCCCCTAAATCCTGTCCAAGTAGGTCGATCCAACGGATGTGTTTACCTGATAGCTCGCGGTACTTTGGAAAACGCTGCAAGACAGAAAGACCGCTCACGCTCGAGTTGCAAAAGTTTTCGTCGAATGTACACCGACATCCCCGGGCCGTCTCGCATTGGAAAATATGTCCCGATTGTGACTCCCGAGTTTCGTCCGTTGTGCTAGTACCGGGTGGTCAGATAGAAATGTCAGATTCGTTCAGGCAAGGCACATAGATTGCACGTATCGTTGGTATGCACAGCATAGATGAAATTCCAAGAAATAGTTGTCGGAATACAAGGAAGAATTTGTAAAAATTTTATTCGAAACATTCCTTCGATCGCAAAATCGTTCTTTATATTCTAACGTATAATCGAATCACTAAAAGCAAAAATTTTCTACTATTATTTTTCTGGTATTATTATTGGTATAGAATGGACCAACATTGCAGTCAAACATGCGTTTACTGTAGAAATGCTACAAAGGAACTCTGTTTTATTTCTCTCATTATAGAAATTTAATATTGGAAGATATAAGGAAGATTAATTACTTATTTTATGTATTAAAAGCACTATTCATTACTTTTAATACTCAAAATAAATAATTTCTAGTATTAAATTGGATTCTTTAACAGTCTTAATAGTATCTCGTTAGTGATTTAACAGAAAAAAAAATCGGTATGAGATGCTAACAAGAGAGACAGATTCTCTATATATTATTTCTCATTCTAGATTTGAGTATTGCGATAATCTATTCTATATATCAATCGATATTATATGAATGTATTAGTTCTTAAAATATAAGACATAACTAAAATTATATATAAGTTTGTATATATTATTCTATTTCATTTTTTTGTTAATTCATATTTTTATATTAGGTGTTGGAATTAATTCGTAGCGTTTTACAAGTGATGGGAAGTACTTTCATTAATGTATTTTTTAATGCTCATGTGAAATAAATAACATTCTTTCATTAAAAAACGCTACGAATTAATTCCAACACCTAATATAATTGCAGAAGAGAATTATATCTTTAATTTAAGTTAATTTTTTTATTAAAAATATTTTTTATTTAAATAAATAATATTTTAAGTTATAAAATACACATTATTAAATATAAGAAATTTTTTCAAATAAATATGCAAATTTTTTTGATAAATATATTTTTTTACGTAAATACTACCAATAATCTTTTTTTATAAACATTTAATTGATTTCAGATACGCGAACACTTCCTTTTGTATTAAATTTTTCTTGAATTTCCGTTTGTTCACCCGATATACGAAGCACATGCATACGTGCGGAATAGAATCGAAAATGCTAGGAAACTTCGACGATAACGCAGGACAATATGTAAGGACGCGTCTCTTCGCGTTTCCAACAAATATCGACCCATACCTGACCCATCTTCTCGGTTCAGCTAGCAAAATTTTGCAAAAAGATCGTAAGACACTACGGAAAAATCTCAAACTGTGTCAAGCCGAATACAGCGGATGTCTATTATTTTTTTCTTCTGCATTGTTTGCGGAAAATATCACTACGCGCAATTTGTTTGCCGACCGAAATAAAGAGTACGCAAATGTTACGTTTTTATCTGTTCCGGCTGTTTGTTTTAATCTCGTAATGCGTGTTTTCGCGCAACGTTGACGAAATATCGTTTCATGAAACGAACGCTATCGATTTCCTCGCAAATATTTTCGTTGTTGAAGTAAACGTAAGGAAGAGAAGGTTTTTAGCGTCGTGATATTTAGATATTCCATATTACAGCTTTTAAACATTTTTGAAAAAAAATTTACAGAAATTTTTGACGAAAAAATGTAAGTAATAAATAAATAGTATAAATTTCAAGAACAATTTAGTTACGAAGATTATTCAATTTTTATTTAAAAAATATATTTGCTTTTATATAACTTAATATAATAGCTAAATGCAATAGTCAAACTTTAAATCGAAGATAGGTAAAGAAATTTGATAAATATAAAAGTATTATATTACACGATTATTCAAATTACAATAATTTTACAATAATTTTACAAAACTTATATTACTTATGTAAATCTAATTTGATTATACATATAAATTATACAATATAGATAAAACACTTGTCAAAAACTTTTCTTGGATTAAATTTCACCTGGAAAGGTAACACAAGTACGGTTTTAATATTGTCGCGTTTCTTTATTAGTAAGTACGCACAAAAGAAAACTTGTGCCAGAGAGAAATCTTGACAGCTTTATATCCAGAGCGACTACCATAATGCAAGGAACACTGGCAGCGAAAATGGCTTTAATCCTT